ACAACTTAAAGCAGACCATGGAATAGGTGGAATTTGAACCCATAGTAAATAAATCCTAAAATTCTTATTGTAGCCAGGTGGTCAAGTGGTTAACACACTGGCCTGGAGTTTTATGTCTCACTTGTCATGGGTTCAAACCTTCAACCTTTCTTTGGTTTCTTTGCAGCTGTGTTATTACAGTCTCATGAGTCAACTTAAACTGGCTGGGCAGTGCTCTATGCACTGTATCATGCCAGTGTAAGAACATAAGAACATAAGAAAGGAAGATCACTGCAGCAGGCCTGTTGGCCCATACTAGGCAGGTCCTTTACAATTCATCCCACTAACAAAACATTTGCCCAACCCGATTTTCAATGCTACCCAAGAAGTAAGCTCTGATGTGCAAGTCCCACTCAAATCCAACCCCTCCCACTCATGTACTTATCCAACCTAAATTTGAAACTACCGAAAGTCCTAGCCTCAATAACCCAACTAGGTAGACTGTTCCACTCATCAACTACCCTATTTCCAAACCAATACTTTCCTATGTCCTTTCTAAATCTAAACTTATCTAATTTAAATCCATTACTGCGGGTTCTCTCTTGGAGAGATATCCTCAAGACCTTATTAATATCCCCTTTATTAATACCTATCTTCCACTTATACACTTCGATCAGGTCTCCCCTCATTCTTCGTCTAACAATTGAATGTAACTTAAGAGTCTTCAATCTTTCTTCATAAGGAAGATTTCTAATGCTATGTATTAATTTAGTCATCCTATGCTGAATGTTTTCTAACAAATTTATGTCCATTCTGTAATAAACGCCACCCAGCTAGAAGCATTTGGCTGGCATGGTTCAGTGGATAATGCACTGGCCTGCTGGTTTTGAAGGTTTAAATTGCCATGGGTTTAAATCCCCACTTTATCTTTGAGTTATTTGTGGGAGTATGGGTGCTCCTCGACTTACAATGGTTCGACTTAAAATATTTCAATGATGGTGCAAAAGCATTTACTTTGGAGGTGAAAGTTAAGATAATTATCCAGCATGGAGGCAGCAAGTTCCTAATTTATATTCATTTATTTACTTTAAGTGTATTTAGTTATAGTAATTCTTCTTTCGATGCATTGGTGATATCCCACTGAGGCGGGGTGGCCCAAAAGTTAAAACAAAAGTTTCTGCTTTTACATTTAGTAATATATACAGGAGACGGGGTTACTAGCCCCTTGCTCCCGGCATTATAGTCACCTCGTACGACACTCATGGCTTACGGAGGAAGAGTTCTGTTCCACTTCCCCATGGAGAGTTATAGTAATTATTTGTTTAGTTACTTATTCACTGACAGTAGTTATTTATTTACTTATTTATTTAGCATATCATATTTGACTTGCGATATTTTTGACTTACAATTGATTCGTCAGAACATAACCCCATTTTGAGTCAAGGAGCATCTGTATTGTGCTGGTTATCAATGTCTGTAACTTGGTAAAGGTCTTGGAACAAAGCATTTTTTCCAATAATGGCTGGTTCTTGTACATGCATGATTGCCCTCATTGCTGTTCGTATTATGCTTTTTAAAACAGTTTTTTTTATATCTCTCTGTGGGAACATCGGTATCACCAACTACAATGACATTGTTAAAACCTTATAGCATATGATACCAAGTTGCAGTGAAAGACTCGTAGGACATTGCATTATGTATAAATTTTAGTCTTGGGGCCTTGTTTACTACAAATATACAAGGGGCATGAAGAACATTGGTACATATAATAAAAGGGTATACATGTGGCAAGCTGAACTTTTAGTGAGAGTAAGATCAGGTGAACTGAAATGTCGGGTCGCCTGATGGGTGGGACAATGAATGTGGCAGACACATGTTCGAATGTGGCACGGATATTGTAGCTTCCTATTTTCATGCACACCAGCATTTGTTATACCATTGTCAGGGATGCTTCAAAAGAATTAATTGTCACCCTAAATCTGGCATCTTGATTTTGTGAGCATCAGTATTTGTTGCCACTGTTAGGGCTGTTTCTAAGAATCCAGTGTCTCCCTAAATCTGGCACCTTGATGACCTGGTCAGCTTCAGTTATCAAATATCCCTCAGTGGCTCTTTGTTCGTCTTTCAACGCACTGGCTGTATCCCACCAAGGCAGGGTGGCCCGAAAGGAAAAATGTCAGTTCCTCCTTTTAAACTTAGTAATCTTCTTCTTTCTTTCAACGAACTGGCCATATCCCACCTAGGCGGGGTGGCCCAAAAGGAAAAACGAAAGTTTCTCCTTTTACATTTAGTAATATATACAAGAGAAGAGGTTACTAGCCCCTTGCTCCCGGCATTTTAGTCGCCTCTTACAACACGCATGGCTTACGGAGGAAGAATTCTGTTCCACTTCCCCATGGAGAAAATTTAGTAATATATACGTTTAATGTAATGGAATGAAATCCAACTGGCTATCAGGAGCCAGATTTTAGGTGATGTCAGATTTTTAGAAGTTTTCCTGATAGATTTACCAATACAGTAGTGCATGTAGTATGAGGTTACAACATACCTTCCACAAATCATGGAATGTATTGGGTTTGACCCATGGCAAGTAAGACCTGAACTCTAAGTGGGTTGAGACCCCACTCGTTTCATGATTTGTTTGCAATTGTTCTGTTGCAGTTTCGTGTGAGTTGTGATATCTGCCACGCAGGCACATGCTTCTTGCACGTTAATTGCTCTGCACACCTCAAGACACAACCATCAGGTGGCCTTACAATAATTCCGCCCACACGACTCCACTAAAGTTTGGTTTACCTCACGGAGCATTCTTTATAAATACTTATGTTACACCTCATGTATATTTGGAATGAACCAGGTCCCAGAACAAAAACATATCTATAATAATAGATCCTAAATTGTTTATGTATTCATATTACTGTATTGACATTATATTTCAATTTTACATATGGCCAGATACACACCTACTTTATAGAAGCAGGCGTAAGAATCTATATTAAATGACGAAACATATAGTATGCTATAAAAAGATTTGAAATGTAAATTCTCTGTTAAATGTGCAATCATAAATTTTTTAAAGAATAAAAAGACATGATACATATTGTGACTGGAGCAATACACAAATAACCTACACATACGAGAAAAAATTATGACGACGTTTTGGTCCAACTCGGGCCAAGTTGGACCAAAACGTTGTCATAAGCTTATTTATTTTATTTTTTTATTATCACACCGGCCGATTCCCACCAAGGCAGGGTGGCCCGAAAAAGAAAAACTTTCACCATCATTCACTCCATCACTGTCTTGCCAGAAGGGTGCTTTACACTACAGTTTTTAAACTGCAACATTAACACCCCTCCTTCAGAGTGCAGGCACTGTACTTCCCATCTCCAGGACTCAAGTCCGGCCTGCCGGTTTCCCTGAATCCCTTCATAAATGTTACTTTGCTCACACTCCAACAGCACGTCAAGTATTAAAAACCATTTGTCTCCATTCACTCCTATCAAACACGCTCACGCACGCCTGCTGGAAGTCCAAGCCCCTCGCACACAAAACCTCCTTTACCCCCTCCTCCAACCCTTCCTAGGCCGACCCCTACCCCGCCTTCCTTCCACTACAGACTGATACACTCTTGAAGTCATTCTGTTTCGCTCCATTCTCTCTACATGTCCGAACCACCTCAACAACCCTTCCTCAGCCCTCTGGACAACAGTTTTGGTAATCCCGCACCTCCTCCTAACTTCCAAACTACGAATTCTCTGCATTATATTCACACCACACATTGCCCTCAGACATGACATCTCCACTGCCTCCAGCCTTCTCCTCGCTGCAACATTCATCACCCACGCTTCACACCCATATAAGAGCGTTGGTAAAACTATACTCTCATACATTCCCCTCTTTGCCTCCAAGGACAAAGTTCTTTGTCTCCACAGACTCCTAAGTGCACCACTCAACTCTTTTTCCCTCATCAATTCTATGATTCACCTCATCTTTCATAGACCCATCCGCTGACACGTCCACTCCCAAATATCTGAATACGTTCACCTCCCCATACTCTCTCCCTCCAATCTGATATTCAATCTTTCATCACCTAATCTTTTTGTTATCCTCATAACCTTACTCTTTCCTGTATTCACCTTTAATTTTCTTCTTTTGCACACCCTACCAAATTCATCCACCAATCTCTGCAACTTCTCTTCAGAATCTCCCAAGAGCACAGTGTCATCGGCAAAGAGCAGCTGTGACAACTCCCACTTTGTGTGTGATTCTTTATCTTTTAACTCCACGCCTCTTGCCAAGACCCTCGCATTTACTTCTCTACAACCCCATCTATAAATATATTAAACAACCACGGTGACATCACACATCCTTGTCTAAGGCCTACTTTTACTGGGAAAAATTTCCCTCTTTCCTACATACTCTAACTTGAGCCTCACTATCCTCGTAAAAACTCTTCACTGCTTTCAGTAACCTACCTCCTACACCATACACTTGCAACATCTGCCACATTGCCCCCCTATCCACCCTGTCATACGCCTTTTCCAAATCCATAAATGCCACAAAGACCTCTTTAGCCTTATCTAATACTGTTCACTTTATATGTTTCACTGTAAACACCTGGTCCAACACACCCCTACCTTTCCTAAAGCCTCCTTGTTCATGCTATCCTTTCTCCGTCTTACTCTTAATTCTTACAATTATAAGCTCACCAACACTTTTACCAGGTACACTCTAACAGACTTTCCCCTATAATTTTTGCATCTCTCTTTATGCCCCTTGCCTTCTATACAAAGGAACTATGCATGCTCTCTGCCAATCCTAGGTTACTTACCCTCTTCCATACATAATTATTAAATAATTTCGACACTCACTCCAAAACCATATCCCCACCTGCTTTGAACATTTCTATCTTTAATCCCATAATCAATCCGCTGCTTACCTCCCTTTCATTTTACCATACTGCCTCACGAACTTCCCCACACTCACAACTGCTCTTCCCACTCCTACAAGATTTATTCCTCCTTGCCCTATACACAAAATCACAGCTTCCCTATCTTCATCAACATTTAACAATTCCTCAAAATATTCCTTCCATCTTCCCAATACCTCTACCTCTCCATTTAATAACTCTCCTCTCCTATTTTTAACTGACAAATCCATTTGTTCTCTAGGCTTTCTTAACTTGTTAATCTCACTCCAAAACTTTTTCTTCATAAGCTTATATATTCTGGTTATTTATGTAAAAATTTTCAATATTGTATTTCTACAGGGTAAATTTTTCGTGATAAGTTATAGGTTTATTTTATTTCTTCAGTTTTTTTAAACTTTTTGTACATGTATATACAGTATTGTATTTTAATTGTTTCTATATATACAGTGGACCCCCGGTTAACGAACTTTTTTCATTCCAGTAGTATGTTCAGGTGCCAGTACTGACCGAATTTTTTCCCATAAGGAATATTGTGAAGTAGATTAGTCCATTTCAGACCCCCAAACATACACGTACAAACGCACTTACATAAATACACTTACATAATTGGTCGCATTTGGAGGTGATCGTTATGCGGGGGTCCACTGTATACAGTAAATATAAGTGAGCATTAATGTTAAACGGAGAATAATTTGTATAACATTAATATACTCTCAGTAGTAAAGAAAAAAGTTATGCATTATTTGATAAATTGAGGCTGCTGTTTTAAAAGAGTTTAATATATAAATTAGTTTCTTTCTTTCGTAATATACAGATCTTCAATATTTTATTAACTCAACAGCTGTCTGCTAAGGCAGGGCGACCCAAAATAAAAATTACTGTTCATTTAAGTGCCATTTTTCAAGAAACATGTTGACATCAGTCAGTTTACTCTCCGACTGTAACATCCTCACCCATCCTTCAGAGTACAGGTACTGTACTTCCCACCTCCAGGACTGTAACATCCTCACTCATCCTTCAGAGTACAGGTACTGTACTTCCCACCTCCAGAACTGTAACATCCTCACTCATCCTTCAGAGTACAGGTACTGTACTTCTGACCTCCAGGACTGTAACATCCTCACTCATCCTTCAGAGTACAGGTACTGTACTTCTGACCTCCAGGACTGTAACATCCTCACTCATCCTTCAGAGTACAGGTACTGTACTTCCCACCTCCAGAACTGTAACATCCTCACTCATCCTTCAGAGTACAGGTACTGCACTTCTGACCTCCAGGACTGTAACATCCTCACTCATCCTTCAGAGTACAGGTACTGTACTTCTGACCTCCAGGACTGTAACATCCTCACCCATCCTTCAGAGTACAGGTACTGTACTTCCCACCTCCAGGACTGTAAACATCCTCACCCATCCTTCAGAGTACAGGTACTGTACTTCCCACCTCCAGGACTGTAACATCCTCACCCATCCTTCAGAGTACAGGTACTGTACTTCTGACCTCCAGGACTATAACATCCTCACTCATCCTTCAGAGTACAGGTACTGTACTTCTGACCTCCAGGACTATAACACTCACTCATCCTTCAGAGTACAGGTACTGTACTTTTGACCTCCCGGACTGTAACACCCCACTCCCTCCTTCAGAGTACGGTACTGTTTCTTCGACCTCCAGGACTGTAACATCCTCACTCATCCTTCAGAGTACAGGTACTGTACTTCTGACCTCCAGGACTGTAACATCCTCACTCATCCTTCAGAGTACAGGTACTGTACTTCTGACCTCCAGGATTGTAACATCCTCACTCATCCTTCAGAGTACAGGTACTGTACTTCCCACCTCCAGGACTGTAACATCCTCACTCATCCTTCAGAGTACAGGTACTGTACTTCCCACCTCCGGGACTGTAACATCCTCACTCATCCTTCAGAGTACAGGTACTGTACTTCCCACCTCCAGGACTGTAACATCCTTGCTCATCCTTCAGAGTGCAGGTACTGTACTTCCCACCTCCAGAACTGTAACATCCTCACTCATCCTTCAGAGTACAGGTACTGTACTTCCCACCTCCAGAACTGTAACATCCTCACTCATCCTTCAGAGTGCAGGTACTGTACTTCCCACCTCCAGGACTGTAACATCCTCGCTCATCCTTCAGAGTACAGGTACTGTACTTCCCACCTCCAGTACTGTAACATCCTCACTCATCCTTCAGAGTGCAGGTACTGTACTTCCCACCTCCAGGACTGTAACATCCTCACTCATCCTTCAGAGTACAGGTACTGTACTTCTGACCTCCAGGACTGTAACATCCTCACTCATCCTTCAGAGTACAGGTACTGTACTTCTGACCTCCAGGACTGTAACATCCTCACCCATCCTTCGGAGTACAGGTACTGTACTTCTGACCTCCAGGACTATAACATCCTCACCCATCCTTCAGAGTACAGGTACTGTACTTCTGACCTCCAGGACTGTAACATCCTCACCCATCCTCCTGAGTACAGGTACTGTACTTCTGACCTCCAGGACTGTAACATCCTCACCCATCCTTCAGAGTACAGGTACTGTACTTCTGACCTCCAGGACTGTAACATCCTCACCCATCCTTCAGAGTACAGGTACTGTACTTCTGACCTCCAGGACTGTAACATCCTCACCCATCCTTCCGAGTACAGATACTGTACTTCTCACCTCCAGGACTGTAACATCCTCACTCATCCTTCAGAGTACAGGTACTGTACTTCTCACCTCCAGGACTGTAACATCCTCACCCATCCTTCAGAGTACAGGTACTGTACTTCTGACCTCCAGGACTGCAACATCCTCACCCATCCTTCAGAGTACAGGTACTGTACTTCTGACCTCCAGGACTGTAACATCCTCACCCATCCTTCAGAGTACAGATACTGTATTTCTGACCTCCAGGACTGCAACATCCTCGCCCATCCTTCAGAGTACAGGTACTGTACTTCTGACCTCCAGGACTGTAACATCCTCGCCCATCCTTCAGAGTACAGGTACTGTACTTCCCACCTCCAGAACTGTAACATCCCCACCCATCCTTCAGAGTACAGACACTGCACTTCCCACCTCCAGGACTTCAATCCCTTGGGGGGCTGGAATTATTTCCCCATAAACCATGCATGTTCCAGAAGGCAGCTAAAAGGCTGGGAACCATTTCCATGTTCATTGTCTAAGTCGAAGAAGTCATTAATGTGTTGTGACTTATTTTAGTGGTTACTAAGGTAAAAATCTAGATCAAAACATTAACTGGTAAAGTGCAGCTACAGGATAATGTTAAGTGATAACTACATTCATGGCGAGGGGGAGAACATGGAGGAATGAGAAGCAGTGAGGTTTGATCTAACGAAGGGGTCGGTCAGGTTCACTTCCTTGAATAAAGAGTCGCTTACCAAGGAACCACCCTTCAGGAGCAAGTACGTAATTCTGAAACACCAAATTAGCCTAGAGAACACTGCAATGATCACAGCTCTGCTGTGGGTAATTTTATTTTATAAATTTTTAAAAGATTGTAGTTTGTCAAAAACATAATATATTTAGAAAAAATACAAGTAAAAATATATAACTTGTTCCCTCTTAACCATGTGAAATGCATTGTTTTAAGCTTAATTAAGCTGTGTTACTTAATATTGCATAGAATGTGAATGGCAGATTATAATATACATTACTAGAAGAGGCATCAAATATTCGTTAACTCTTTTTGCTCACAGGTTTTGATGTGTTTTCAATGACTATACATGTATTAGGAATGTGATTAACTGTCTTAAGTTGAGGTGAATTATGAGGATAGCCAGTGATAGTTGTTGGTAGTATTTCATCATGAATCAAAAATATTTACAGTATACACATGTAATTTATGTTTTATTTATATCAAAGACTAAAAAGGCACGATACTGTGAATGGAACAGTGAGCAGATAACCTGCACATAGGAGAAAAAACTTTGGATGACATTTTGGTCCGACTTGGACCACTAAATAGTCACACACTGACTCCATACCTTCATGCTGCAGTGTGTGACTAATTAATGGTCAGAGTCGGGCTGAAATATCATCATAAGTTTCTTTCTCGTATGTGAGGGTTATTTGCGTGTGGTGCTTTATTTACTGTGTTAATTAAAACATTTGTTTTTTCAACAAACCGGCCATATCCCAGCAAGGCAGGGTGACCTAAAAAGAAAAACGAAAGATAACCAAAAGTTCCAGATGTGGGTCATTGTATAACTAAGACCCACATCAGGAAACACTTGTCCTGCTTCCTGACGAACCCTACCTAACCTAACTTAAGATATAGAGCCACATAGTCAAATATGATTTTATATTAAGGTAATTTGTATTACCCCAAGCTCTCCGCATAGAAATAAACTTGCTACCAATTGTAAGGTTTATGATTTTTAAGGACAGAAACTTTATGCAGATGACAGAAATTCATTGAGCCCTTATGGAAAACTGAAATTCTGAGTGTAATGCATATGCTGACAAGTAAGACATGTGCAGCAGTTAGGTATCTTTATTCTGAAAAGTTTCAGTTACTCAGTAGACCTCTCAGTCAAGTACAGAAGAGGTAGAAGCAGTAGAGATGTGAAGACGATGTCATCAGTCCGTCAGCCTTGAAGACGTAGTTTTGGGGTGGTCAGTCCCTCAGCTTGGAGAAGAGTGTTGTTCCATATTCTGGAACAATGTTCCAGATACCTGTCAGTATTATATACCATTTTCGTATTCAGTGCATATGCTTATAAAAATATTCGACAACACTGATTTCCTTACAGAAACCTCCCAATATTTTTTCTCCCAGCCTAGAGTATAAACATCAATGCAGTTATTGCAACATGTTCATTATTAATATGAAGACAGAACTGAGCTAAACCAAAATAGAGTAAAAAGAACTATTGACAAAATAAGAAAGACAAATTTAAATGTTTTGATGAAAGTTAAGACACATGTGCAACATCTGGTTATCTTTATTGTAGACGTTTTGCCATCCAGTGGCTTTATCAATACAGATTCTAGGACATAATTAGAATACAGAAGATCTATATACAAAAGATGTGGTAATCAGTCCCTCAGCCTTGGAGGTGGTGTTTACAACACCGTGGTTGTAGAGATTCTGAAGCACGGGTAAGGAGACTTTAAATGTTTTCTTGAAATTGCTTGTATATGGCGTCAAGGGTTGTCAGCCCTTGTGGCACAATCTTACACCAGGTCTCATGATCGATGTTCTGGTCAGTCAGACTCTTAGGGCCGGCAACCACACGGAGGCAGTTACTGGTTATATATTATGTATATATACTTAGTGATTATAACCATAATTTTTAAACAGGTGGACAGGTAAGCCAGTGGAAGGCCTCGGTCAGATGACCAAAAGCTCCAGCATCAGGAAACACTTGTCCTGTTTCCTGACAAACCTGACCTAACCTAACTGGTTATGAGTCAGTAACATGAGAGCTCCACAAATAATCTTTCTTCTCACATTTCCTCTTTAAGTTTCAAAACAATTCATAATTATTAATATAATTCTACCCTCTGTACAGGGCTTCACTCCTTTACTGGTTTTAACCCTTAAACTGTCCAAACAGATCTATGTTCACATGCGTAGTGCTCCAAAAGTAAATCTACGTTTTTTTACATATTTTCAAATATAACAAAAAAACATAGATCAAAGTTTTTTTTACACATTTTCAAATGTAAAAAAAACAACAAGAAGATCTACATTATTTTACATACTTTCAAATGTTGAAAAAACGTAGATCTACATTTGGACAGTTTAAGGGTTAATAAAGAAATTTACTAGATAGCACAAAAGATTTTCCAGTTGGTGTTTATTTTGAGCTCATTTAAAAATGAACACCACTAGCCATAAGCTTTTTCGAAATTGGTGGAATCGTTTTATATTTTGCACCTGTCAGACTTCACATTAACATGCATAGACTGAGAGCTTACTGCATTAACACTGAAGAAATGATACAACGGAAAGATGGATTGGAAATTATTTGCAATAAACTTTCATTTTTTTGACCTCGTTGGCTATCTCCTCCAGGGTGACCCAAAGAAAAAAAAGCATTCACCATCTTTCAGTCATTTGCTATCTTGCCAGAGGTCCACTGGCATAATTCAAATTACCCTCTGACTGCATTATCCCTGCCCCTCCTACAGAGCACAAGCACTGCCCTTCTTATCTTTAGGGAAATAGATATATTTCTCAATAGTCTAATCTTTTCCAAGTAACTGGATAAATTTATTTACGTGGGCTTAATAAATACTCTATGATAGGTACATTACTAGTAGTGTAGATAAATGGTTCAGAGAAAGGACAAGGTGATGATTGAGTCACATATGCAACACTTGGGTATCTGTATTGTGGAAATACTCACCAACAAGTGACTTCCTCAGTCCTTTGGGACTGATTACCTCAAACTACTTATCTCCCACCATTCCTCTCCATACCTGACTGAGGATGCCACTTGTTGGTGAAACATTCCACAGTAAAGATACCCAAGTGTTGCATATGTATCTCTCATTACTAGTAGTGTTTATAAATCTTTATTTTGCTGGATCGAGACTGCCTTTGCTTCCTTGTCGGAGTTCATAGATTGGAGCCTTTAGCACTTAACAAATATACATGTTCACAAGTACTTTGCTATAACATTTTCCATATAAGTGTATGTTTCAATCTTCCAAAAACCTGTGTCATACCAAATACAGAATGTTAAGTTGCTGATCACAGTCTGTGCTATAACTAGTTTCTAAATACTGCTGCATACATTAAAAGAAATATGTACAGGAGGGCCCCACTTATACAGCAGGTTAGGTTCCAGGCTACTGTAGGATCCCACTTATACAGCAGGTTAGGTTCCAGGCTACTGTAGGATCCCACTTATACAGCAGGTTAGGTTCCTGACTACTGTAGGACCCTGCTTATAGAGCATGTTAGGTTCCAGACTACTGTAGGACCCTGCTTACAGAACATGTTAGGTTCCAGACTACTGCAGGGACCCACTTATACATCAAGTTGGGTCTGGGCTATTGTAGGATCCCACTTATACAGCAGGTTAGGTTCCAAGCTACTGTAGGGCCCCACTTACATAGCAGGTTAGATTCTGGGCTACTGTAGGGCCCCTCTTATATAGCAGGTTAGGTTCCAGGCTACTGTAGTATCCCACTTATACAGCAGGTTAGGTTCCAGGCTACTGTAGGATCCCACTTATACAGCAGGTTAGGTTCCAGGCTACTGTAGGACCCCACTTATACAGCAGGTTAGGTTCCAGGCTACTGTAGGATCCCACTTATACAGCAGGTTAGGTTCCAGGCTACTGTAGGATCCCACTTATACAGCAGGTTAGGTTCCAGGCTACTGTAGGATCCCACTTATACAGCAGGTTAGGTTCCAGGCTACTGTAGGATCCCACTTATACAGCAGGTTAGGTTCCAGGCTACTGTAGGACCCCACTATACAGCAGGTTAGGTTCCAGGCTACTGTAGGATCCCACTTATACAGCAGGTTAGGTTCCAGGCTACTGTAGGATCCCACTTATACAGCAAGTTAGGTTCCAGGTTACTGTAGGATCCCACTTATACAGCAAGTTAGGTTCCAGGCTACTGTAGGATCCCACTTATACAGCAGGTTAGGTTCCAGGCTACTGTAGGATCCCACTTATACAGCAGGTTAGGTTCCAGGCTACTGTAGGATCCCACTTATACAGCAGGTTAGGTTCCAGGCTACTGTAGGATCCCACTTATACAGCAGGTTAGGTTCCAGGCTACTGTAGGATCCCACTTATACAGCAAGTTGGTTCCAGGTTACTGTAGGATCCCACTTATACAGCAAGTTAGGTTCCAGGCTACTGTAGGATCCCACTTATACAGCAGGTTAGGTTCCAGGCTACTGTAGGATCCCACTTATACAGCAGGTTAGGTTCCAGGCTACTGTAGGATCCCACTTATACAGCAGGTTAGGTTCCAGGCTACTGTAGGATCCCACTTATACAGCAGGTTAGGTTCCCGGCTACTGTAGGATCCCACTTATACAGCAGGTTAGGTTCCAGGCTACTGTAGGATCCCACTTATACAGCAGGTTAGGTTCCAGGCTACTGTAGGATCCCACTTATACAGCAAGTTAGGTTCCAGGTTACTGTAGGATCCCACTTATACAGCAAGTTAGGTTCCAGGCTACTGTAGGATCCCACTTATACAGCAGGTTAGGTTCCAGGCTACTGTAGGATCCCACTTATACAGCAGGTTAGTTCCAGGCTACTGTAGGATCCCACTTATACAGCAGGTTAGGTTCCAGGCTACTGTAGGATCCCACTTATACAGCAAGTTAGGTTCCAGGTTACTGTAGGGCCCCACTTATACAGCAGGTTAGGTTCCAGGCTACTGTAGGCTCCCACTTATACAGCAAGTTAGGTTCCAGGCTACTGTAGGATCCCACTTATACAGCAGGTTAGGTTCCAGGCTACTGTAGGCTCCCACTTATACAGCAAGTTAGGTTCCAGGCTGCTGTAGGATCCCACTTATACAGCAGGTTAGGTTCCAGGCTACTGTAGGATCCCACTTATACAGCAAGTTAGGTTCCAGGCTACTGTAGGATCCCACTTATACAGCAAGTTAGGTTCCAGGCTGCTGTAGGATCCCACTTATACAGCAGGTTAGGTTCCAGGCTACTGTAGGATCCCACTTATACAGCAAGTTAGGTTCCAGGTTACTGTAGGATCCCACTTATACAGCAGGTTAGGTTCCAGGCTACTGTAGGATCCCACTTATACAGCAAGTTAGGTTCCAGGTTACTGTAGGATCCCACTTATACAGCAGGTTAGGTTCCAGGCTACTGTAGGATCCCACTTATACAGCAGGTTAGGTTCCAGGCTACTGTAGGATCCCACTTATACAGCAGGTTAGGTTCCAGGCTACTGTAGGATCCCACTTATACAGCAAGTTAGGGTTTCCCGGCTGCTGTAGGATCCCACTTATACAGCAGGTTAGGTTCCAGGCTACTGTAGGATCCCACTTATACAGCAGGTTAGGTTCCAGGCTACTGTAGGATCCCACTTATACAGCAGGTTAGGTTCCAGGCTACTGTAGGATCCCACTTACACAGCAGGTTAGGTTCCAGGCTACTGTAGGATCCCACTTATACAGCAGGTTAGGTTCCAGGCTACTGTAGGATCCCACTTATACAGCAAGTTAGGTTCCAGGCTACTGTAGGATCCCACTTATACAGCAGTTAGGTTCCAGGCTACTGTAGGATCCCACTTATACAGCAAGTTAGGTTCCAGGCTACTGTAGGATCCCACTTATACAGCAGTTAGGTTCCAGGCTACTGTAGGCTCCACTTATACAGCAAGTTAGGTTCCAGCTACTGTAGGATCCCACTTATACAGCAGGT